CTGGGTTCAATCCCTGGTACAAAAAAAAAAAAAAAAAAAATCCAATTAGAACTGGTCAGCATGGACCAAGGTGACTTAGAGTTGCTATGGCAATGAGACTTGACATCTGGTGTCATCCTTCTGTCAGTCAAAAGTCGAGTGGTGGACCTGGGCGGGACTCTCTGGAAACTTCCCTGGGACCCCTAATAAAATTGGAGTGCAGGAGAGGCATGTTGTCCCTCTCCTTTCTGAGAGGACCCACTCTCTCCCTTGAGTGCCCCCTTTCCCTTTCCCCCTATCCCTTCAGTAAACTCATTCCTGTTACCCTGAGTGACAGGTTTGAAATCTTTCTGACTTGGTCGCAAGAATGAGGGTTTGAAGGCGGAGGCTTCATTGCCCAGTTTCTCAGAAGGCCCCAGCTCCAGAGCACTAACAAACTTTTCTTTGCGTCATCAGAGTTACTACCATTTTGCTTCTTTCCAGAGAACTTCTTTCAACAATTCATATGACAGAGGTCTCCTGGTGACACAGTCTCTCAACTTGGTCCTGTTTTCTTTCCTTTTCTCAGGTTGTGTAGTTTCCACCATCTTATCTTCATGACACTCTGCTCAGTTTGCTCAGATCCATAACTGAACATCTAGGGATGATTCATTTACGCTGTGCTTTGATTGCTGTGTGGTCCTTGATGATTTGTAACTCTGTTGGTGCAGTATTTGCACGTCCTCCTTCTGGTGTCCTTTAGTCCCTCGCTGCAGTCCCCTCTGCTCCTTTGAGCAAACCTCAGTCTGAAAGTCTGTCTGGTAGTTCAGTGCCTGAAGATCCCCAGAAATGGTTTCTCTCCATTCATTTTCCCCCCATTTTTGAGCTATCTGTTCCTACTTGTCCACATTCTTTGTGATTTTTTTCATCATTGTATTGGGAGGTGGCTGTGTGAATATCACTGTGACAAATTGGATTCTCCTGCTTTTCTGGTGTTGAGGCAGGAAGATTAGAGGGGGTTGAAATGGGGTTCTTCACTTCCTTTGAACTTTTGGTTCAAGAAATTTCTCAGTTGATTAGGGTTTGGGGAATTTTTTTTTCTTCCTAAGAAAGAACTTATGAAAAAAATTAAAATTTTCAATGCCTTTTTCCCTTCTGGTATCAGAATCAGCTGGTGTTTTTTTTTTTTCTTTGATTGTTACACTGAGAACCTGACAGGATTCTGTAGGTGAAACTCAGCTATTTTTAGGATCTGCTAAGGTTGGACCCCCAGAAAATTTCACCTCTCCAACTGGTTTTCTTTCTGTCTTTGGCAAAATTCATCAGGGATGGTTTCCTACCTTGGTTAAGTGTTTCTGATGTAGTAAGTTAATTCTGCTCAGGGTCTGCCTCTTTGTTTCCCCAGTTGGGAGATGAAGGGTAACCATTTTTTATTTTTGTCATGTTCTGTTTATTGCTCTATCTTCAGTGTTTAGAAAAGTCCTTGTTAGCCAAAAGGCACTTAATAAATATAGTGCTGAGTGACAGGGTGTGGTGGTACTTGCCTATAATCCCAGCTACTGAGGAGGCTGAGGCAGGAGGATGTCAAGTTTGAGGCCAGCCTCAGCAATGTAGCAAGGCTTGTCTCAAAATAAAAAATAAAAAAAAGCTGGAGTTGCAGCTCAGTGGTAAAGTGCCCCTGAAATCAATCCCCAGCACCAAATTAAAAAAACCCCAATAACAACAAAGTAATTACTCACTGAATAAATAAGTCAAATAAATCTTCAAAGGAAATAGACAAGTCTTCGGTACCTCGGCAATAACTTTCACAGTATAGTCCATTTTGGTGCAAATTTCTGTGTAGTGGCTTTAGGCTGCCCTATAAGTGAAGGCCTTCCCTTATGTTTAAAGTGCAGGGGTTCCTATCTGTGGTGAATTCTTTTCTGGTGTCTCACAAGATAAGACTTATCAGTGAAGACTTTCCCACATTCATTCATAAGGTTTTTGTCCAGTATCAAATTTTTAAATGTAAACAGAGGCCCAGCTTCTAGCTGAGGGATTTTCTACATGGACAAGCTTTCTCTCCACTGTGAATTTTCTGATGGATATGAAGTCTTGACTTCTGAAAGAAAGCTTCCTCCCATCTATCACTAGTATCATTTAGAAGTTTTTCCCATATAGATTTTTAAAACTTTGTTATTTTTAGTTACACATGACAGTAGAATGTATCTTGACATACACAAAGTATAACTTCCCATTCTTGTGGTTGTACGGGCTGTGGATTAGAGGTAGGTACGATGGCACATATCTCTAATCCCAGCAGTTCGGAACGCTGAGGCAGGAGGATCTCGAGTTCAAAGCCAGCCTCAGCAACTTAGTGAAGCCCCTTACATGAACACAGGAAAGTTATATCTGGTTCATTCTACTGTCTTTCTTATCCCCATTCCCCTACCCTTCCCTTCATTCCTTGGGTAATCCAGCGAACTTCTATTCATCCCTACTCTCTCCCCTTGTTGTGTGTTAGCATCTGCATATCAAAGAGAATATTTGGTCTTTGGTTTTTTGGGATTGGCTTATTTCACCTACCATGGTAGTCTCTAGTTGCATCCTTTTACCAGCAAATACTATAATTTCATTCTTCTTTATGGCTGAGTAATATTCCATTATGTATATATACCACATTTTCTTTATCTATTCATCTGTTGAAGGGTGCCTAAGTTGGTTCCATAGCTTAGCTGTTATGAATTGAGCTGCTGTGAACATTGATGTGGCCACGTCACTATAGTTCCCATATGGATTTTGTTGTCATTGATGAAATGGGATTTTTCTTCTGGATGAATTTATTGCCGTACAGCTGAAACTCATAAGCCCTCCCTGGCATGAATTTTCTTTCTTTTTTTTTTTTTTTTACTGGGAATTGAACTCAGGGACACAACCACTGGGCCACATCCCCAGCCTTTTTTGTATTTTATCTAGAGACAGGGTCTCATTGAGTTTGTCTAGTGCCCTGCCATTGCCAAGGCTGGCTTTGAACTCTCAATCCTCCTGCCTCAGCCCCCGAGTCCCTGGGATTACAGGTGTGTACCACTGCACCCAGCTATGAATTTTCTTTTGATCAGTGATGTTTGATCTCTGGGCAAAGGCCTTCTCACATATCCTACATTTATAGGGTTCTCTCTTGTGTGTTCTCTGGTGTTTCACAAGCTCTGGCTTATAGATAAAAGCTTTGGCACAGTCCTCACATCTATAGGGGTTCTGTCCTGTGTGAATTTTTTAATGTGGGAAGAGTGACCCGGAACTAGCTCAGCATGTTTATCATGTAGGGTCTCATAACCAGAAAGTGAAACTGCAGAAGCTTTGTGAATTGTTCAGGCTTGTGAGTTATCAAGAGGCTTCTTTGTGCACTAAAATGTTATACAGTTAGAACCATCTTGCGGCTATCCTGCTGTACCCAGAAAACCCATTCTACTGGAACTTTTGATAACTGTTGGCCTCAGAGCCGAGGGTCAAGGTCGTTCACATCCTCGCCTTTCCCAGGCCTGGCTTTTGCCAACACTCCAGGATCAGCCGATGACTAGGGCTCGATGACCAGGGCTCGTTCGCTCTCCACAATTTAACCCTCTCCATTTCTTCTTCTCTGTGTGCACCACACTAAGGTGAAGTGATCAGAAGCCTGAGGCTCCCTTCTTTGGAGCTGGCAGGAGACTCAGACCACCCAACCTCTGCCCAGAGCTTCCCTGTAGCCTCCATGAATCTCTGAGGCCAGGCTTCTTGCCTTGCTCTCTCAAAGACAATTGCTGCCTGCTTGAGAGACCTGCCCTTCTCTCTTTGAGCCCTCAGTTCAGTGAGTAAAGCCTTTGCCTTTCTTCTTGTTTTGTTTTTTGTTTTATGCCACATTGTCCTCAGTGTCAGCATCAGAACCATCCTTCTGGAGATGACCAGACCATAAGCGGGATGTGCAGACACTGACTATCTCCCCGTCTGTGTTTTCTTGTTCCATCTGCTGACCTGCTCTTTGCCTGACGGCCAGCATGCACTCTGACCTCTGCTTGCTCCGGGTCCGGGGATCTCCCGGTGTGACCTGTGCTACCCTGCTTATTGCTACCCAGTCTGCGAATCTTAGCTCACAGTGCTTCTTTTAAGGCAGACATAAATAGGGATATGTTCTGTTCTTTCCCAAACTTAATTCTTTGTGTAAATGATTCATCATAAAGTATATTGACAAAAGAACAAATAAAAGGTCTGTGGTAAGATTAAGATGTAGTAGTGCTAACCCTATAAATATCCTGAGACTTCTGAAGATTCATAACAGAGCCTTGGCCATTCGTTAGAGTCTCCATAGGTGACCAATGTCCTAATTCCTCAGTCACTTTCCAGTCTTTTCTGTGTGATTTTTCACTAACCAGTGTTCTTTAAGAAACAGAAAGTACCTTATTTATGGTACAAATAAGGGCAGCTTCACGTTGATTTAATCTCTAATTTTTAGTAAGTATTAAGGCAATTTCAAGGGAAAGTGTTACAGGTTCCTTCCTTGGCCTCATTAGGTCCCACACATTCTCATGACTGAGGCTGAAGCAAACTGTTTGCCATCCATCCAGTGGTGAGGGCCTTGGGCTTTTCAAAGTCCCTTCTTAGTGCTTTGAAAAATATTGCATCTGTTTCCAGGTACATTTGGAAAATGCGTTCTCTGAACATTGCTGGGAAATGACTGGTCTGTAGATTTGATTGAAGTTCAAATGACAGGAATTGACAGTGGAGTGTATCGGTGTCCTCTAAGCAAAACTCCCTGCCTGTTTGCTCCGTCTTCAACACTTAGATTTCAATTGACTGTTTCCCTCCCCAAGGCCTTAGGTCTTATTTTCAATATGTTGTTTTATCTTACAGTAGATGTGTCTCATTTGTGGATGTGGGTGGCACTAGGTACCACACCCAGGGGCTTTGTGTATGCCATGCATGGAATACATGCATGTCCCTAAGCAGATACTATTTTGTCCTCGTGAGTCTAGAAATGACTTTTTGATGTCTCTCTCCCTTCCTCTTGGAAATATATGTGGATGTTTTAGGAGCCCGTGACCTTTGAGGATGTGGCCATGAATTTCACCCAGGAGGAGTGGGCTCTGCTGGATCCTTCCCAAAAGCAGCTCTACAGAGATGTGATGCAGGAAACCTCTGGGAACCTGGTCTTTATAGGTAAAGATGGCATGATTCCCTGGCTTGGTCATTGGAAGGCAAATGTCCCTTGTTCATCAGTGTTGCTGCATAATTCTGAATGTGAATTTGGGAACACTGGGGTGAAGACACAAGGCATGATCCTATTATACTTTGAATATAGCTAGAACCTAATAATTTTTCTATAATGTTGAATGATTCATAGTGGTTTTTCTGGGTCTACATTTTAGGAGAAAAATGGAAAGAACTAAATGTTGAAGATGAGTTCAAAAGCCCCAGGAAAAACCCAAGGTAATTTGCACTCATAAGGGAAAGCAGTGTTCCTGCAGAGTCTTGGAATGATAGGTATTTTTTGAAACATGAGCACATGGTACAAATAAGGGCAGCTTCAAGTTGATTTAATCTCAGAAGTGTTCCCCCCAACTGTATACAGGTTGAGCATCTGATGTGACTTGGATCTGGAATGTCCTCCATAGGCTGATGTGTTGCAGGTTTGTGCACAATGCAGCAATGTTCAAAGTTGAGGCATTGGGAAGTGATCAGATAAAGAAGGACCTAACCTTATCAGTGCATCAATCAATTAATAGTTGCATAACTTTTTTAAAAGGAGGAATCTATTTTTAATTTATTTTGAAAATATTCTTTGAGACAGGGTCTCGCTGAGTTGCTTAGGGCCTCACTAAGTTGCTGAAGCTGGTCTTAAAATTGTAATCCTCCTGTCTCAGCCTCCCAAGTCTCTGGAATGACAGGCATGCACTACTGCTCCTGGCGTATATTCATAAGTGGATGGCATTCCTGGGAGGTGGCAGGGACTGTAGGAGATATGGACTAGTTGGAGGAAGTAGGGCCCTACAAGACTTCAAGCATGCCCTGGAAGGCTTTATCTTTGTCTGACCCCCTTCCTCACGTTTGAGTTTTAGCCACCATTAGGGGAGCAACTTTGCTCTACCTCGCTCCCCACCATGATGTTCTGCCTCAAGCCCAAAGGGATGGAACCTATCAACTAGCAACTGAAACCTCTGAAACTATGGACCAAAAATAAATCTTTCATATTTTAAGTTGTTTTCTTATACATTTTATCACAGGGATGGAAAGCTAATAGCCTCCATAATCAGAAAATCCAAAACCCCAAATATTAACTATATTGGAAACATTGGGAGCAACATAATGCTAGGAGTGACACTTTCTCATATGTGTATATGTGTGTGTGTGTGTGTGTGTGTGTATATACACACACACATTGTTTTATGCACAAAATTATTAAAATTTTTATATTTCCTTCAGATTTTTGGTATAATGTATATGTGAAACAAAAAAAGGAATTTTGTAAAGTAGAAGACATATTAAAGATACCTCATTATGTCTGTGAAAATATATCAAAATCCAGTGTACTTTTGGCCACTATATAAGGAATACTCAAGTACCTACCATATAGAACCACATATAAATAACAACTCTTTGTAATAGCTGTCTTGGAAACTTTCTACTGAGTGTTCAATCCATTGATGTTCAAAAATTCTTACAGGGCACAAAACCAGCACTTCTGTAGCAAAAAAAAAATTTGGGGGGGGGTACTGAGGATTGAACCCAGGAACACTTGACCACTGAGCCACGTTCCCAGCCCTATTTTGTATTTTATTTAGAGACAGAGTCTCACTGAGTTGCTTCATGTCTTGCATTTGCTGAGGCTGGCTTTGAACTCACGATCCTCCTGTCTCAGCCTCTTGAGTTGCTGGGATTACAGGTGTGCACCACTGCGCTGGCAGAAATTATGGAGGCACCACTGGGATAGTAAATTATTAATAATTAAAACCTAGGGGCTGGGGTTGTGGCTCAGTGGTAGAGCACTTGCCTAGCATGCATGAGGCAACTGGGTTCAATCTCCAACACCACATAAAAAAACTAAACAAAGGTATTGTGTTCTTGTACAACTAAAAATATTAAAAAACAAACAAAAAACCTTAGTAATGTGCTTCTCATTTTTTACAGAAGTCAAGTGGTTGAGAGACTCTGTGAATGCAAAGGAGATAGTCAGTGTGCGGAAAACCTTAACTGGACTCCAGAGCATATTTTGAAGGAAAAAACTCCTCCAGGAGTAAAACCATGTGAAAGTCCTGTGTGTGGAGAAGTGACCATTGGTCATTCATCCCTAAAGGTGCCCCTGAGAGGTCCCACTGAACACGAACCATGTGAGCATCAGGAATATGGAGAGAGGCCATATAATCAGAAGGAGTGTGGGAAATCCTTCAGCTATTCTCAGTGTTTGCAGACTCATGAAAGGACTCACAGTGGAGAGAGACCCTGTGACAAAAAATGTGATGAAGCCTTTAGGTGTTCCAGTCCTGTTGGAAATCATAAAAGGACTCACACTGGTGAGAAGCCCTATAAATGTAAGCAATGTGGGAAAAGCTTCGCTCGTTCTAGTATCCTTGTAGAGCATGAAAGAATTCACACCGGAGAGAAACCATTTGTGTGTAAGAGTTGCGGCAAAAGATTTACTCGTTCTAGTTCCCTTTACACACATGAAAGAATTCACACTGGAGAGAAACCCTTTGTTTGTAAGCAATGCAGTAAAGCCTTCTGTGATCAGAGTTCCCTTCGGTACCATGAAAGAATTCACAGGGGAGAGAAGCCATATGTATGTAAGCAATGTGGGAAAGCCTTTGCTTGTTCTGGTACCTTTCGAAAACATGAAAGAATTCACGAAGAAGAGAAACCCTACAAATGTCTGCACTGTGTGAAAGCCTTCCGTTCTGACAGTGCCTTTCGAAAACATAAGAGAGTGCATACTGGAGAGAAACTCTATGTATGTCCGCATTGTGGTAAAGGCTTTGTTTATTCCATTTCTTTTAAGTACCATGTAAAGACACACAATCGAGAGACAGAAAAGAAACCCTATGAATGCAAGCAGTGTGGTAAAACGTTCTATAGTGCCAGTTACCTGAAAGAACATGAGAACATTCACAGTGGAGAGAAACCCTATGAATGCAAGCAGTGTGGTGAAGCCTTCCATAATTCCGCTTCCTTCCGAAGACATAACAAAGTGCACACTGGAGAAAAGCCACATGTATGTGAGCAATGTGGGAAAACCTTTGCTTCTTCTAGTTCCTTTCGGAGACATAACAAAGTTCACACTGGAGAAAAACCACATGTATGTGAGCAGTGTGGGAGAGCCTTTGCTTGTTCTGGTTCCCTTCGGAGACATNCGGAGACATAACAAAGTTCACACTGGAGAAAAACCACATGTATGTGAGCAGTGTGGGAGAGCCTTTGCTTGTTCTGGTTCCCTTCGGAGACATAAAAGAACTCACACAGGAGAGAAACCCTATAGATGTATGCACTGTGGAAAAGCCTTCAGTTCTGACAGTGCCTTTCGGAGACATAAAAGAGCTCACACAGGAGAGAAACCCTATAGATGTATGCACTGTGGAAAAGCCTTCCGTTCTGACAGTGCCTGTAGAAGACATAAAAGAGTGCATACTGAAGAGAAACCATATTTTGACAGCATTGCAGCAGAGCCTTCATTTATCCCTCTTCATTTAAATACCACGTAAGAGAAACCTTATGGATATGAGCAATGTGGGAAAACTTTCCTTATTTTGAATCATTTTAGAGCACATGAACAAGCTCACAGGGGCAAATCCTATGTGTATAAGCAGTGTGAGAAAATCTTGTTTCTCAGTTCCCTTCAAATACATGAAAAGATTATACACTGGAGAGAGACCCTACGTTTGTGAGCAGTGTGGGAAAGCATTCCGTTGTTCCATTGCCCTGAGAACCCATAAAAAAACGCACAGTGCAGCAAACCTGTACGAACTCAAGCAGTGTGGTAAAGCATTTGGTGATCCCAGTTCCCTGAAAACATGAAAAAATTTACAGTGGAGAGAAACCCTATGTATAAAAGTCTCCATTTGGCTCACACATGTGGATGCACACTGAATCAAACCTTGTCATTGTGAAGAAAAAAAATAAAACCCAAGAAAGTTATTAGTTGAAACACATTTTCAATTAATGAAAAATTGTCATGTAGTGCAATCTTATGAGTAATATGAAGAACTCGATGCAAAGTAATTTGTGTAAAATACTCCAGAAAATACGCAATCTGAAGGAAATACTACAAGTTATAATAAAGATTGTGTTTATCAGGGGCTCATTCTTGTTGTGGGGGAGTAATGGAAGTTGCATCCAAGGGCACTATACTACTGAGCTACATCCCCAGCCCTTTTTTCAGGCAATATAGAGGGTGGAGCATCATACTCCTTACAACCCCACCTACAACTGCTGAGAATATTTTGAACTCCAATGGAAAGAGTTCTTTAAATTTTCATCAAGATTTAAAAATTTTTTTAAAAATTCTTTTTCTCTGTTTAATTATTACCTTGATGGTACATGGACATTTATACAGTTAAACATTTTTCTTCTAGTATTTTTGAAGCCAGTTTTTTTTTTTCATGGATTAGGTTTTTTGTTAAATAGGATGCTTGATTAGTATATTTTAGTATTGTTTTGTATTTATTTTTAATTTTTAAAGTTTTTACTTTACATATTTTTTTCTTCTACCTGTTTCCCTTGATTCTCTTCTGCTAGCAGCCAATCTCTATTCTCTTTCACGCTTCCTTTAATTTTTCACTTCTCTCCTCCCTCATAATCTCACATCCTATCACTTCTGTTTTCTCTGTCCACCATTTGAAAGTATAAACCCTTTTGCAAGCTGGTTGTTATTATTGTAGGCAATAACTGATCATATAATTTCTGTTTATTATGATAATTTGTAGACATTATAGTAGAAATATTTGGTTTAATGCTATATATTGTTTGTATTGGTTATTGTTAATTATTTGTCTACCCCTTGAGGTACGTTAAACCTTCAGAGACACTATAAGTCCACAGATAGAAACTCTGCTGCCTCAGATCCATATTGTTAGATGGGTAGACATACAAACAACATGAAAAATCATCACCTCAAGCAAACTAAGATACTTCAATAACAGAATCCATTGACACCACAGTGGAAGAAATGTTAGAGAAGGAGTGAATATCAGAGAAAATACAGAAAGTAAAAGGTCACTTCAATAGAGAGAGGCAGAGATTGGGGGGGGAAGAACTCTTTGAAATGAAAGAATCAATAAACCAAATTAAAAATTCAGTGGAAAGCATCACCAATAGACAAGATCACTTGGAAGACAAAACCTCAGGCAATGAAGACAAAATATATAACCTTAAAAATAAAGTCAACCATAGTGAGAAGATGTTAAAATATAAACAGAACTTTCAAGAACTATGGGTTAACATGAGAAGACTGAACTTAAAAATTTTTCTTATCAGGATAGATGAAGACGTGGAGATACAAATCAAAGGAATGCACAATCTTTTCAATGAAATAATAGAAAGTTTCCCAAACCTAAAGAATGAAATGGAAAATCAAATACAAGAGGCATACAGGATCCCAAATGCACAAAATTTCAACAGAAAATAGAAATAGGTGCTAGAGTTGTGGCTCAGTGGTAGAATGCTTGCCCCACATGCGTGGGGCACTGGGTTTGATCCTCAGCACCACATAAAGGTATTGAGTTCATCTACTACTTAAATTTTTTTTTAGAGAATTTTTTTTTTTAATATTTTTTAGTTCTCGGCGGACACAACATCTTTGTTTGTATGTGGTGCTGAGGATCGAACCTGGGCTGCACGCATGCCAGGCGAGCTCGCTACCGCTTGAGCCACATCCCCAGCCCCCTACTAAAAAATTTTTAAAAGTTAATCAGAAGGGACAAGGATATTCCATACTGCTTAAGGGAATTACCCATCAATAAGATAACAATCATAAATATTTATGCCCCAAACAATGGAGCATCTACACACATCAGTCAAACCCTTCTCAATTTCAAGAATCAAATAGACCACAATTCAATAATACTGGGTAACTTTAACATGCTTCTGTGACCACTGGATAGATGCTCCAAACAAAAACTAAAGCCAAAGAACTAAAAAATACAATTGACAATGTGGACTTGGACTGAATACACTTTCTTAGCCAATGGAGCCTTGTGTAATGTAGACCATGTTATGTAATCTACCACATATGTTCACATACAGTTGTAATATTAATATATTTTTAGCATCTGAAGGATTAATTATATAGCTCTCTTTCCATTTATATTTTTGTGTTCTTGCTTTTTTCTTGATTAGATTTGTTTATTAAATTTAAGCTGTTATTTTTCTTATTTCATGATTGATTTCTAATGCATTAAATCACACAGGAAACCCAGTCCTCATGATTTCAATTTTTTTTTTTTTTAGAGAGAGAATTTTTTTTAATATTTATTTTTTAGTTCTCAGCGGACACAACATCTTTGTTGGTATGTGGTGCTGAGGATCGAACCCGGGCCGCACGCATGCCAGGTGAGCGTGCTACCGCTGAGCCACATCTCCAGCCCCATGATTTCAATTTTTTAAAAAAAGTAATGGAAATGCTTTTGTATTGATTATATTGGTTACATACATGGTGAAACTGATCAAATTGCATACTTCAAATATGTGCATTTTATTGTATTTCAACTTTAATAGTTATGGGAAAAAAATTGAGACAGGCTCTCTCAAAGTTGCCCAGGCTGGCCTTGAGTTTGTGATTGTCCTGCCTTAGCTTCCCAAATTGAGATTATAGGCATGCACTGCTGCACCCAGCTAATCAGCTAAAGTAGACGCCACTGTGATGTCCCCCTGAAAACACCAAACGAAGCAGGGAAGCTTCAAGGTCATTTATCAAAATAATTAAATGAGCAACAGACAGCTTTCATTTTGAGTAGCGTCCTAATTTTAGTGCAGAAGGGGGGTGTGACTGACATACTCAACATGGGATGGGCCCAAGGACACCAGCTGTCCTTAACGGTGTCAACAGAAGCACAGGACACGGGCAAGGTTAAAAAAAAAATGAGAATCCCTACTCAGTATAAATTAACTCGAGTTGAGAAATATGATCTGTCCAGGAGAAAACATGCCACTCAGTCCTTTGCCATCAAATGTTCATACCTAGCTCATATACAGCAGTACAACACTTAAAAGTACTTAGGGCTGTGCATAGTGGCACACACCTGTAATCCCAGTGTCTCAGGAGGCTAAGGTAGGAGGATTGCAAGTTCAAAGCCAACCTCAGCAACATGAGGCCCTGCCTCAAAATATAAATAAATAGATAAATAGATAGATAAATAAATAGGGCTGTGGGTGTGGCCCAATGGGTAAGTGCCCATTGGGCCCATTATTGGGTTTAACCCCCAATACTAGAAAAATAATTCATTAATTAAAATATCTTTAGGGCACAGCTGAGTGGTATGTGGCTGCCTGGTATACACAATGTCCTGAGTTCAACCCCTAGTAATACAAAAAGAAGAAAAGAAAAAGTAATTGCACAACTTTTAATAAGGTATAGTATATATTTTCTCTTAATTCCCTATGTCTCCCTGAGTAAAGGGCCCCTGGGTTCGAAAGAGAGGGAAGGAGGGAGGAGGAAAGGAAGGAAGGAAAGGCCGTCGTCCCCATTTCTCTCCCAGGCCCCGCCTGCCACCTCCAAGCCTCCTTGCCCGGGCAGTCCCTGTTTTACTTTGTACCCTATCTGCCCATTTAAAAAGCATTTGTTGAAATCTATTGGATCTTTTGAAATGACGGAGCCTTTGATCCCTCCCTGCCTCAACCACCCGCCCACAGTCTGGGCGCCGCTGTTCCACTGTCCACTTTGATGCGACCAACTCCACATGTTCGGGAGATGGAGGGATCGGGCAGTGTCTTTCTGTGTCTGGCCTGCTCCACTTCATAGAGGCCCTTCAGGTTCATCCACGTTGCCATAAAATAGCAAGGTTTTCTTTTATGGCTGAATAGTATTCCGTCATGTCCATGGGCCACATTCTCCTTACCCATCTGCTCACTGCTGCACACTTAGATAGACCTGTAACATGGCCATCCTGAAAGGTGTGGTGCACACAGAGCGTGTGGCTCTTCAACAGACTGACTTCATGGCCTTTGGATGTACGTGCAGCCGTGGGATTGCTGGATCATGCAGGGGTCCTGTTTTTAATATTCGAAGAATATCCATAATGTTCTCCATAATGTCTATATAATACTGGACATTTTCACCAATAGTGTGTAAGGGTCCCCCTTCTCCACAGCACTAGTGACTGATTGATTCTTTGATAATAGCCATTCTAACGGTGTGAGGTGATATCGTGGTTTTGATTTGCATTTCATTTGAATTTTTTTTTCTTTTGGGAAATGTTTATTCAGGTTATTTGTACGTGTGAGTGTGTGTGTATGTGTGTATGTGTGTGTGTGTGTGTGTTGCTGGGGATTGAATCCAGGGCCGCACACATGCTAGGCAAGCATACCACCACTGAGTTACGTAGCCAACTCTTTTGCATATTTTTTATTGGATTATTTGTTTCCTTGCTATTTAATTGTTTGAGTTCCTTATATATTTTGGAAATTAATATCAGATGTATAGTATAAAAATATCTCCTCCCATTCTGGAGGTTATCTGTTGCTTCTGTTGATTGTTTCCTTTGCGCTCTACAGAGCATTTTAGTTTGATGTTACCCCCTTGGCTTATTTTTCCTTTTGTTGACTTTTGGAGTCATGGCCCCCCAAAACCATTGCCCAAAACAGTGTGATGCCGCTTTTCCCCTATGTCTTCCTCTAATAGTTTCAAGTCATATTTTAAGTCTTTTTTAAAAAATCATTTTAAAGTACACAATTCAGTGACACTTAGTACATTCACAATATTGTACAAATGTCACCACCATTGTCAAAGTTTAGACCATTCAATTTTAGAATATTGTCTGGTTTTAGAACATTGTCATATTTTAAGTCTTTTTAATGGATTATGAGTTGATTTTTGTGTGTGGTGAGAGGAAGGGGTCTAATTTCATTCTGCAGATGGATATCCAGTTTCCCCAGTGCCATTTTCTAAGAGATATTGCTTTCTACATCATGCAGCCTTATCCCCTTTGTTGAAAATCAGTTAGCGAGGAACGTGTGAATTTTTCTGGGCGGTTTATTCTGTTCAACTGGGCTGTGTGTCTGCGTTTTGCTGGGGCCAGGTTTGAAGTCAGGCAGTGGGATGCCTCCAGCTTTGTTCTCATCCCTCAAGATCACTTTGTCTATTCAAGGTCTTTTGTGGTTCCATATAAATCTTAGAATTGTTTCTTCCATTTCTGTTAAGAAAGTCTTTGGTAGGGATGACACTGACCCTGTAATATGGATATTTTAATGATGTTAATTCTTCCATTGTG